TATTTTTTACATATTATAAATTTAACAACCTATTTTTTTCTAGGATGACATTATGATTAATATTGAAGAAGAAAATCTTGAGGACTAGTATGCAACTATCCAACAAATGTTAGAAGTAGTTGGTGAAAAAAATATAGTTGAAGCATTGTTAATTAAAGTCAGAAATGCATTAGCTACAAAACATTTTATTGTACTATTAAAAAACAATACACATCTTTGTTCATGTCTAACTATTATTCAACAAAAAATTATTTGTAGGCACTACTTTCAAGTAATGCTAAACACTAATACGGCAAAGTTTCATATTTGTCTCATTCTATCTAGATGGTAATATAAAAATATGGATGCCTCAAAAGAAATATTTATTATGGCTGACAAATACGAAAGTGAAGAAGCACCTGATTATGATATTTCATATCTTTCTCCTTTTTATAATCAAGAAAAAGACTTTTTACAGGAAAATCTTAGTCTTCTTGAACAAAAATTAGTCTACGGAACATTACATAGTATTTATAAAAAGGCAATAAGTAAAGCGTTACAGTCTAAATCTGAGTCAGATCGCCTTTTAAAGCTATTGGAGAATTTTGTTCAGGAGTGCGACCAATCAGAATATAGTTCTAGCGATGATAATCACTCAGACGAATCTACAAGTAAAAGAGAGTTTCAACTAAAAAACTTTAAATGGTGACAAGGCAGAGGATGACCTCCAGGTACCAAGAGAATTAAAGCGTCAAATGAAAATCCTGGCATCACCAAAAAAAAAAGAACTTGCAAAAAATGCGGTGGTATTAGATACCATCAAAAAAATTGTACAGTTGGTACTTAAAAATTTTTACTTTTTTCTATTTTATCGTTGAAGATATAATAGGTAGGTAATTCTACTAAGACAATATTAAAGAAAATTACTTGAATTTTTAGGTCTATAATAATTAAAAGTGAAGATTTTAATGATGTAAGTTATCTATTTACTATTAGTCTTTATTACCTTTAGTTTAAGTGCGGTTATTGATCTTTAGTACTAATTATTGTATGGTCTATAAACTTGTTACATTCTAATTAATATTTAACAGAAATAGCCATTCACTGAGGTATTACCATAACTTACTGCAAATTTGTTAGCAAGAATCGTTGACGTTTATTACTTAAGCATTAATAAACTTTTCTATTACGTTTCACACTTTACTTAACTAGAACTCAATCATCATATTTTTTTGTTTCTTAAATGTTGTTTTGTGTTTCCTCAATTATATTATTATTCAATTTACAAATTAATATAATGTATGCTGAAGGATAGTAATTAAATGATGGATATAATAATTCTTTGTATACGTTAAAACAATTACAAATAAATAGAACTATAAATAAGTGATTCTTATTAGCAAACATACTATACATTTTATTTATACCAAATCAATTTAATTCTCTATTCAATATAACTTTCTCTTACAAATCACCTTATGTTATGTCAAACAAAAGTCAAGTTGGTTTAGACTAGAGATGTACTATCACACACTTATCAGTGCGAGGTATTAATTGTTATATGGCTAATGATATGAAAATCGCAACGAATGTCAATAATTATCCAAGTTGTGCTGATTAACACCTCATATTAATAAAGTGCGTGATGGCACATTTCTAGTTTAGATATTAAAGTAAAATGTATACTTTTGCTGGTTATTCTCTAAATTATTTTATTATTGTATATTTTAACTGCTCTGAGTTAGAGCTAAAATTTTTCGGATGTCCATTGTGGCCATTATCTGAATATTCACAGATTTTAGTACGAATGATGATGAATGAATATCTAGATTATATATGGAAATCTGTAGATATTCATTAAATATTATATTATGTAATTCAGCTATGTTCTGACTACATTCTAAGCAAATATTCATGACTATAATATTTCAATTTTCGACTTATAAAAGCAATCAAAAAATAATACAAATAGACATAAATTAAATTTTAAAGCGTGTTTATTAAAGATAAATAATATTACAGTACTTTAAAACCCCAAACTGTCACGATTTCATCCTAGCTGTCCCTTTTTACAATAAACAGCCACATAAAATGCCTATTTTTCTTTAATTCAATAAGAAATCACAAAAAAAACAAATAAAGATGAAAAACAAGCTAACAATTACTATGAAATATACTTAACTATGACCCAAAATACAGTGTCACTATTTTTAATGTTATAACCAGGAGTTCCAGGAGCAAATTCGGGCCTCATTCTAATGCAACCATCAAAAGTTCTTTGTCCACTTGACATACACTATTGACTACAATACTCGGATCTTTGGCTTGATAAAATTTTCAGGATGATATAAGGTATAACTCTATAAATATCACTTGAATTAGTTATGCCCTTTAAATAATTCCAGGTTTGCAAGATATTACCATTGCGAAAGTCTACATGAATTATAAATGTTATAGCTTTAATTTAGCCTGCTAATTAAGATCCTAAAAATTTACTCCTAAAACTTACGAAGATTTCACTATTAGTGTATCGAAATACCATCATATATTACCATTTAACCGGTAGTTATCATTGCAAAACATACGATTCTCAGAAGACAATGCGTTAATATGTGGTATAACAATCAAATAAATCTGAAAAATGTACATCAAAGAACACACCTGTTATCCCAGCAAACATAATGCAATTGTTATGATGAAAGTTGATAGAGTTGATCTTGAGATGTGGATGCCCATTTGATCAGTGAAAAGCTATTGATGAAAGTTTGATGATGATATAGGTGATATAAGGTTGGGTGATCAGTTTGAAGGAGCAATGATAGTATGAATTTGAAAAAGGTGTAATTAACAATGATAAGGTAATTTAATTGTGATGTACAAAATGGACAGTGATAGAGAAAATGAGAATAATAAAAAAAAGTAATGATAGTTAGTAAAAGAGGCATTGATAGAACATGTCAGGCAAATGACAAAAAAAAATTAAATTTACCTATGTTAAATAAAAGAATAACCTAAAAAATTTCATGATCTGTTTATTGGAGAAGCCACCATAGAACTTTGAATTTATTACCCTTAATAATTACGTGGTTAGAAGAATTCGCCAAGATGTCAAGATCACGAGAAAAAATCATATTTCTTAAACAACCAAGTTCACTAATAATTCCACGCTTATTATAACTAAAAAAATACACTATTGTAATCTAAAATATTATACCTTCATTCCTGAGAAAGTTTCATTTGTTAAGTTATCATAGAACTTAGAATCTATTATCCATAAAGTTTTTAAGGTGCAAAATTACGTGGTTAGAAGAAATTCGCCAATTATACAATCTTACATAATTAAGAAAACACATTACTATAATTTAACTTATAACCCAAGTTTCAATCGCCCATTTAATGCTATAGCGCCAAGTTGGTACTCTTGAGGGAATAAATATCCTTAGAGTAGCGAAGCACAAGTCTCGAACGCCTATTTAATACCATATCGCCAATTTGATACTCTTGAGGAAACAGAATATGAAAGAATGAATAAATATTCTTAGAATAGCGAAGCACAAGTCTCAATCCCCCATTTAATACCATAGCGCCAATCCGGTACCCTTGAAAATCTTTAGAATAGTGAAGCATAAAGCTCGATCTTCCATTTAATACCATAGCACAAAAGCCAAAAGTCTAAGATCTTGAACGAAAGTCCTGTATTCTGAAGCACATTTATTAAGATATAAAAGTTCAATTGAATAAAGTAACGAATCTCAAGTAGTGAAGAGGTAAATCTAGATTCTAATAGCAGGAAAATGAAAACAAATAAGTATCAACAAATAAACAAACAGTCACATATGTACTGTACAAACAGTACAAACGGTACGAAAGGCATGGTCGATACGGCAGTACGAACAAGCGATCGATATTAGATTTCATATTCTCGCAATTTCATTGGCTAATCATAGATATATCGCACTAGCGATGAATGATAATTCTCTATTATTATTATTATTATAATAATAAGTAGTATTATTATCTTTATTATCACTACTATCAAATTCATATTGGGAAAAATATTAAGACATGTTGAAGAAATTAATTGAAAAACAGTATTAACAATACAAAATATACTATATACTTCTGAAATTAAGCACCTCCTCGGAGCAATTTATTATTTAAAATTCTTGTGATTTAATAATCAAATCTACGTAATTTTGGTACTATTTAAATCAGCTTGCCAAAACGATTCGAATGATACCAAAATTATACAGATCCGATTATTAGATCACAAGAATTTTAACTATAAAAATTGCTCTAAGAGGTGCTTAATTTCAAAAGTACAGTCTACTCTGGATATAATGAACCTCTTTATAACGAACTCTGGATATAACGAACTTAAATTTTTCAAAATTTAATATTAGTTCGGTATAACAAGAGCTATGGCTATTAAGAAAACATAGTAATTCTATATAACGAACTTTTTTTTTTGGCCAGAATCGAGGGTTCGGTATAGAAAGAGTAGACTGTATACGGTAGTCTATTTATATAAATTATTGAATACAGAAATAGCTCAAACAAGTTTATTAAACTATTTAAACAAAATAACAAAATTAATTCTCAACAATATTACATTAGTGATAGACTTTAAAATATCATGAATAGCAGAAATGAGAACCACAAATTATTATTAAAATTCAATAGACAAAAGACTTAGAATTTTATTAGCTTAGAATATTTTGTTAAACTTTTATTTATTAAATTTTATTAGAATAGTTATATTAGATAGTTTTATTAGACATAAAAATTAAAAACTGAAAAATTTATTAAAGTAAAATAAAATATAGAACAAAAAAGAACTGGAACAATTACCAACTCAACCAAACTAAAACTCAAACTACCCTCCACAATATACCGCAATATCTCAACCTCCAACTCCAAATCTCCTATTTTTATCTCCAAATCTGTTACCCGCATCTTGAGTCTATTTCTTTATTTTCACAACCTTGCTATCTGTATTTTATACTAGTAATTTAGCCACACTAGCTCAGTTAGATTATGTTTCTGAACTTGAGCTTGCAGGTTTGCAACTTGATTTTGCAAACCCCAGATTATAGAAGAGACAGACTGGCTACAAGTAATATATGGCATCTAGGTTTAATACAGAAAAAGTTAGAAAAAAGATGCTTTTTTCAAAATAGATATACTTAAAAGTGGAAGTATAGAAAAAAAAAGAGAAAAAGAAAAAGACAAAGAAAAAAATATTCACCGAGGCTATACAATCAATCATGCAAGTTATGAAGAAAATCAATTATTTAAGCACAAAAGACTGTTAGCTTACTCAGACATAAAAAGCCAGTAGTTGTCTCAAAGGAGTAAAGCCAACAAAGTTTAGTATACAATCTGAAAAGTATACCTACTTTTTGATGAAAATAAAAAGCAAAGACAAAGAAAACAAGAAAATTTAACAAGAAATTATTGCTAAAAGAAAAAGAAGAAAAGAGTATTAGACAAGAAAGTTTTTAATATAAAGAAATATAGAAAGAAAAATAAAAAGACAGTACAAAAAAAAAGAAGATTTGTGTATAAAATTTTGAGAAACAGTACACATGAAAAAACAAAAATATAAATAGAATTAAAAACAATAAAGATAATTTCCCCAGGACAAAGAAAATTATCACATAGTAAAAATAAAGAAAATCACAAACAATAATAATATGATTCACAAAGATGAACAAATTAGAAATAGAAGCTAATTTTAGACATACAAAAATAGAAGTTCGGTAGACTTCACAGAATTTAAAAGGAAAATAGACAAAGAAAATGCTTAAACACATACTAAGGCTAAGAATTTTTGCCAAGTATACCAAGCACTGCAAATAATGCCAAATTGAAATTTTTGTATATAGTTGTTCTAAAAAGTAAAACTATATAGTAGATAAAGAAAAGCACAAGCAAAAATAGAATTTTTGCATATGATAATAACAAAGAGGATTATGATGAACTTATGACTTTTTGAAAACAAATACAGTAGTTAAAGTACAACAAGTTTAGATTTTACAAAGTAAAATCTTAAGAAGAGGAAAATATTACAAAGCAAATTATAACACAATGTAACATTGTGTAGATTATAGTTTATTATTTGTATATACAGTGTAGTATTAGTTATATTTATTTAGTATTAGTTATTATTATAGTTATATTTATTAGTATAGTATTAGTTATTATCTTTATTATTGTATTAGTTATAGAAATATTATTGGCTAGTTATGTATGACACAGTAATACTACACGAGTGTTGTCTCCAAGTGCCACTACACAAGTCTCTTCAAGTGCCTCTGCACAAGTGCCTCCAAGTGCCTTTGCACAAGTGTCTCCAAGTATCTCTGCACAAGTGTCTTTAAGTGCCTCTAAGTACCTCTATACAAGTGCCTCCAAGTGCCTTTGCATGAGTGCTTCTAAGTGTTTCTTACATAGTTTAGCTGTTACATCTCTTATATATAGAAAAGTTATAAAAAAGAAGCCTTTGCCTCTTCTATTCAAAAAAAGAGTTTCCCACTTTCTTATAGAATCTAGCTTTACCTTCTTACTATTCTTATATTGTATAAAGACATATTATAAATGTGTACAAGATTATATTGATTACTGAATCGAAAAAACTTAAATACAAATTTTAATTTACTTTATATTCAATATTTAGGTATATTTATATACTTAAAATTTTGTACTGAAAACTTTTGCTTAGAAGTTAAACTACAGTTATCATAGTAAAATTTTGAGTTATCTAAAAAAACAGAAAAATCGTAAATAACTTAAGATTTTACTATGATAACCATAGTTTGACTTCTAAGCAAAAGTTTTCAGCATGAAATTTTAAATATACAGATATACTTTAATATTAAATATAAAATAAATTAAAATTTGCACTCAAGTTTTTTTGATTCGGTAATCGATATACAGTAACCTTGTACATATTTATGGTATGCTGTATAAAGTAATATATTCCCTCTAGGGTAATTCTAGTAGATAAGGTTATTCTTCTTGACCTATAATAAATAAAGTATTAACTATATATACTGACTCCAATGCTAAACCATTGCCTCCTGCTAGTGGAGTTGTTAGTACACTCCACTTCTATCTTATATATACCCCAATAGTAGAGTCCCTACACCAGATACCATATTACCTTACCATATTAGTGCAAGAAGACCATGGCATTGTAATACTATATATAAAGTTTAATTTAAAAATTAGTTATTTTAAACTCAAAGTTAAGTTACTTTGAACTTGAAGTTGGTTCTACTTTGAACCCAA